TGTGACCAGAATTTTGGTGAGAGTCTTTGCATATTTACCTTCTCTCATTTCCCAGATTCTGGACTTTATCTATTGACCGGTTTTGACTTTTATTTTGATATATTTTGAATTGCATGACACTGAAAACCAGCAATTAGTAAACTACTATTTTAGGTTTCCTTTAATTTAAAGGTAATTTTGTACATTGCCAAAGCAACTCAAAGTGCCGTCAGTGTGATTGAGCTCCTTTAAGTCAGTATAATGAAAATCATATCATGAGAATGCAAGCATTGAGGGTTTCTATGCTTAATGCTTGATTTTAGAAATTACTTCAGGTAAAATGATTGTGTTCACTTGCATATCTCCTGGCTATAGAAATCCACCATTTGTTGAAATGGCATATATGTGTACCGGTATCTGTTCCATTTTATTCACAGTTATGCTTGGTTCATGGTCAGAAAAAAAAAAATGATCTAGCATTCTTAAATTCTGTACTCTTGTTGTGAAAATATTTCCTCCAGCCATGACTGCATGTTATGAAAAGCTCAGCATGAACAAGAAAATTCAATAGATAGAATCATGTGGATAACACGTATCTATAAGTTACTTGTTGAAGAACCATGATCATATTTTAGTGGTGGTGAATGGTTCGTCAAGAACCATTTTTAGCCACTATGTGCATCTCTTAGTCTCAATTTTCTCACAAAGCTGTCTTGCAGTCTCAATTTTTTGCAAGGCTAAGAGAGTCTCAATTAAGTACAAATTTTTGTAATATGTATAAATGATGTCGGAACGTCCTAGAACCCGAACCTCTTGAGTTCAGATTAATTTTGAAATGCTTTGAAGTCTCAGTCTCGCAATTGAAGAAGACAAAATGTCTTGGGCTCACACCAATCTTGCCTTCTGGCGCTAGCTGGTGATGAAGATTATTATGGGATTTGATGTTACACTAGTGATGCTAGAGATGTGATTTAAAACCTTCCCTCACTGTTTCTTTTTCTAATTTGCAATTTGGTTCAATGTTTTCTTTGAGAGCTCTGGGTATATATGGAGGCTAAATTTGAAAGCATCAAAGTTCAGAAAAGTCAACATCAGATTCTTGGCATAAAAACGACAACATTTCTGTAGCATCAAAATAATATTCCTCAGTAGAATGGTTATAAAATTTTAAACATGATACAAGCAAACACCAAATGGTCAAGAAATCATTGTTTAAACAAAGTTTAAAGTAGGTATAGGTGAACTTCAGTTTTAAGGACCTTGTGGTTTTTGTTTTGTAGAGTTTAATGACCATGGAAGAACTTCAGCCTTTTGTTGAAAGGCCAACAGACCCTCAAGTATCTCTGTCAATATCAGAAGCTAGCTTTGCGTGGGACAAGGTACACAAATGAGATCGAAATACAGAAAAGTATAGTATAGAGATACCTGCAACTGCTCAGTGAGGTCATCAGTGGACAACTTCTTAGTTAATTCTGCAATCCGAGTTTTAACTGAGCAGGGTTCTCTTGATCATCCAAACCTCTGCAGATTGCTAAAGAGCTTATATTTTTGCCTGGTAGGTGCAATCTAAACAGGAAGGTATGTCACCAAAGGAAAATGGAGTTGCCGTCAAGGAGGAACAAGATGGTTAGTGTAGAGTCTCTGTATCTTAGCAGAGTTTCCAGCCATGTTTCTCTTCAGAAGAGGAGATTTTGAAATGGGTGAACCTATTTTTTAATTCTCATTTACTCAGTGTCGTATGATAAAAAATTAGAACTAGTTTTGAGAGTAAGATGGTTAACAAAACAACTGTGTAGTCTACAGAATAGCACATTCAGAAATCACGAAAGTTTTATTGAAATAAAGAAAACAAAAGTTTCTCTTACAAATGAAATGCCACAGGAATATCACATGGTTCTGGACTTAGTAACATTCTCTCTCAATAGGTATAAATCAATCGATTGACCTTCACATGCCTTGTAAGTAATATGAAATTATTTTACAAAGTCTAACCTGCAGTAACATTGTTTGCAGATATGAAGCTTATTAACGGAGGGCATGGCACCAAGGAGACTAAAGTAGCTGCCCAGGGTGGCCCCCTCAGGCGTGGTCCAGCTCCTGTTGAGGTCCAAACCACAATGGAACCAACATTGTTTGATATTGATCTGACAGTCAACAAGGTAAATTTCTGTACCCAGACAGGGCTACTTACTCTTTTTTATGTTCCTAATTCTTTTGGTGTGTTTTTGGCAGAAAACACTAGTTGGAATTTGTGGCAGTGTTGGAAGTGGTAAAAGCTCTCTATTGCAAGCTCTCTTGGGACAGGTTAGTTTTGAGTGCTTGTGTTATGATTAAATTTACATGTAAAAGAGACAAAAAAAGTTATGGAAACCAGGAGTGAAAGAATTACACAGAAGGAGATCACAATCTCCGACAAAGAAATCCAGAACAATCAGGCGGCCAGTAATCAAAGTCCCGATGAGGGCTTTTCTACTGTTTTTACCTCTATTAGATGGCCAACCCTTCTTAAGCAGCCACTATTCATTTCCCAGAGGGTGGCTGTTTAAAACGGGTTGAACTGTTCATAACATTTGACGTTGTACCTACCAACTTAATTAGCCCTTGCATTTTTCCAATATTGCATTGACGCTGCAATTATTATCTTCTTGATAAACAACGGCTTTTTAAGACATTAAAGTTAATAGCCGACGTTTCAGTGATATCACGACACTATTCTCATTCTCTTAAGTCATAATGTAAAAAATTCAGTTCTCCTGGATGTAGCAGTGTGTAGTGCATTTTTTGGTTAGATGCGGATTCAAAAAGGCAATGTGACGGTTGGTGGATCAACAGCATACGTTGCACAACAGGTGAGCTTTTGACATATTTATTTCTTGATAAATCCACAAGAAACTCCATACAATATTTTTAGCCATGACTTCGACAAATTTCCTTGTCTCTGTACCTTTTGCCCTATTGAACTTAATTTATTTCTTGACATGAGACTGTTGGTGTTTTTTCGAAATCCACTTGGTCCTGCTATGTGATTACAATATTATTACAGTTGAACCCCGCTATGTCGAACTCTTAAGGGAAACCAAAAATCGATCATTATGTTGGGAGGTCTGAAATAGCTGACAGTAAGGGTTACCGATCGTTTAGCCCCAAGTCGATTCACCCCCCGCCCCCCCCTGGGATTAACCCCTAGCCAGTTAGCCCCCAACCAGAAGTTGATTAGCCCCCATTCATACTTAAATTAAAGAATGAGAAATAGACAGTGTTTTCGACTTCTGGTTGGGGGCTAAACGACCGGATACCATAGTAAGTGAATGAAAGAGTATATCCAAGGGAAAATAATTTGAGTAAGAGACAGCGGGGAGTACCAGATGGCAAAGTCCAAGGTTCTACTGAAATGTGGTAACATGAGGTTACGTATTGCATCCGTATTTGACATTCATTATTGTGCTGTCACCTCGTTGCTGATTTGTAGCAATAGCCTTGACTTGTACATTGTTATGCTGTAGGCTTGGATCATGAATGCCACAGTCAGGGACAACATTCTACTGGGAAAACCTTACAATGAGGCACGGTGAGTCAAATGATCCGCAATCACTAGTGGGCGTGGCAGATGAAGAAATCAGAAAGAAATGCGAGAGAAAATTACTCACCTGCTATGTGAACGACTAACAGATCAGAAGTTTTCTGTTATGTCTGACTTACGTGTACCACTGACTGAATGATTTTGGTCTTAACTTCTCAAACTCAGTAATTCATCAAGTTTAAACATAGGAAATCATGACCATGACGGTGTTTGGATATCTGATCTTAATTAACATAGATTTTTGCG